AAAAGATCACTTACAGGTGGTCTTATTACAACAACATATACTTCAAAATAAAATCAACATGACAATAAAACCAAGATCTTAAAACTTGATGCCATTGAAATAATTATGCATTATGCTTGAGAATATAGATAAGATTGCAAGTAATAAAAGTGAAGAGTGCCGGAGATTACCTTAATCGGGCTTATTACATCCTACACCGAGTCACTAATATCTGATGGCACGGGATCAATGATCAACCTTCAATCTCAACCTGGAAAGCAAGTTTAGGTTAAGCCACATCAATAGAACATGAACCCCTTTGATTATAAACTCAAACCCTACATGAGTTCCCTTAGCAACCTAGTTTTTGAGAGATGGATTCTCTTTTGACTATATCCCAAAACCGTTAGCCACAAATATATAGTTGAGAGATGGGAGAGAGAAGAACTCCATAGGCTAAACCCTTAGCCCCTTTTTCACAATGTGGGAGAGAAAGAGGGAGATCAAACATGAGAATGAGAAAATTTTTTACGAGAGAGAACATTTTTTTAAGAGAGAGAAAAGTTCTAAGTGGGATGTGCCCCTTTGTGGGATATGAGAGAGAAAGATGGGAATTAGGTACAAGAGATAAGGTGTAGAGATTTTGGGTAGTGACAATCTCTTTTTATAGGCTTTAAATAAGATTAGGGTTTCTAAGGGTTTTCATTGGCTTGCCTCTTCTTGTAAGATTGAATATAAACCATTGATCTTGGGTAACTTGTGGGTTGAGAGATTTGAGTCATCCATTCCATAGATGGGCCAATAACATTATGGAATGTGCATGGACCCCTATCCCCTATTTTCTAAACCATTTTTTCATCAATAGAAATTAAATAAATTAAATCTAATCAAAATATTGTGCATTCCATAAAATAGCATAAGTTTATTCAATCTTTCTACAAAATATTTCGAAGATATATCAAGTCAATAGTTAGTCAATATCTTCCAACCATATGGCCACATGCCATATCACTAAAAAAATAGGAAAGAGAATAAAGGGTAGGGCGTGCCACCCAAGGGAGGCACTCATGGGCCCCACCTTCTAGAAATATGGTGGACCCATGTGCAAAATAGGGCCCCATGATATTTTTATATATTTAAAATTAATAAAAAAAATTTATAATATTATTTGAATATTTAAACCATTGTAAAATCAATATCTTTAAATTTATAAATCCAAAAATTATAAATAAAATATCCAAGAGTTCATAAAAATTCAAATAAAATTTCTAAAATAATTGTCATCATAAAACAAAACACAATTAAATTAATTTTATGAGAAAATGATCCATATGATTTAGGAATTTAATCAACAATCATAGGGCACTCCACCTTCAAATGTAAACTACATACCACACTTGTTTTATCAGACCGACCCACTGTTTCTCATGACCCACAGTCTAAGCAGGGGGCTCATTGCGGGTCACTAAAGTCTGGCTAATGAGCCAAAGGATCGCAATCCCAGTCTGTGGATTTTAAGTCCTCTCCTAGAGACGAGTCAAATTCAACTAGACTTGATGCGACCACAGCTCCTATGGTGTAT